AATCGTCATGTCGATGGCCAATAGACTCTTATTTACTAACACTAAAATTTAAAAAAAAAAAGAAAAAAAAACCTTTAGAAGACTATTTAAGAAACAATAAACTTTTTTTTTAGTGACTAAATGTCTAAATATATTATTTCCTGCAACTGCCACAGAGTATTTAAAAATAGTATTGCCAATGTATCGTCATTTTATTGATAAAAGTTAGAAATAAAAACTGGTAACAAAAACATGAAAATTATATTTATTTTTTCTCCTTGTCCAACTTGATGAAATGGGGTAAGCAAATGAGATATGTAGTTTACCTGGGGAATCGGGGACAGAGGGGCAACATCAAAGGGAGAGACAGATGTGGTTCTGACGGCCAACGAGTGAAGTGCCATTGACGCATCACGTTTCTGTTTGAGGTTTGTAGATTCTAGAAGATCCAGCAGGAACTCAAGTCCTGCAAAATTCAGTAGCACAATAACTAAATATACTTTAGAATCCCAGCAAAAATGATGCACACACCACAAATGAATCATTTTTTACCATTGTTGTCAACAAAAATGGATTTACGATCATCAGGGGAACATAAATGAGCAAGAGCTAGAGCCACACGTCTTTGAACAACCTTTTCTCCGAAACGCATAAGATACAATAGCTGTTTCAGTACCTGCTAGAGAAAAAGAAATGGATGAGTCCTGTCCAATGTTGTCAACATTAAAAAAAAATTAAATAAAATAAAAGTAAAAAAATAAAAGCTAGATTATAATAAAATGTGCATCTTTAATTTAAACAAACAAAAGAAATCGATAATTTGCAATAAAAACTCACTTGTCCATGCATTTTCTCCTCTAATCTTTTCATTGTCTTTCCTACACACTCTTTAGTAGGCTGCAAGTCACACGAGACTTGTCAGGCACCCATATTGATAAACCAAAGAGAAGGATTTCTCTATCAATATACCTTCACAAACAACAAATTTATCATCCTGAAAAGGTTCCATGTAAACCCATTAATTTCATGTTAATGAAAAATAAGTGAACATACTTGAACTTTGAAATCTCCATCCTGTAGTTTTTGAACACCACCAACCTTAACAATATCCGCAACATTGTCCTGTTAAGAAAAAGTTGGATGTTTATGAAAGGGAACATGCAGATGCAGTGATGGTTCAGTAAAGAAGAAAGCAACTGACTTCACCTCATTATCAGCAAGACCATATAGAGCAAAGGCTGCATTATGTTGGAGAGGCCCATTCTTGGAGCAAAGAAGATTGAGTAGAAGCTCTATACCACCATTATAAGCAATACCGGCTTGATTGTGTATGTCCTAAACGAAGCATCATAAAAAGCAAAAAGGAATATGAAAGAAATGGCTAGTGATAAATCTTACAAATAAGTTTATATTGCGCCCTTGATTATGTCATCTTTAAAATTAAAACTAAAGTTAAAATATACAAATATATAAAAAAGAAAATATACACTTTATAATAGCTTAAACCCTTTAAAGCCCAAGATTAGGCAGCAAATTGCCCAATGTAGTAATAATCACCTGAGCCAATCTCCCCAGAGCAAAAGCCGACATTTCCCGAAGCTGTGCATCTGGAGACTTAAGCATGTCGATCAGTGGCTGGATAGCCCCTCTTTGAGCAATATGAACCTGCATGAAAAACAAACATATGTGGCTACAGGGTATGACAGAAAAGCACGGAGGACACAACAAGAGCATTTTCTAAAACCATCCAAACGGTTCTTTTTTTTTTTTGCCACTATCTAAATGCAACACAAAATTCAATCCACCTTGCAATCAGAATCTGTTGCAGCGAATTGACCAATCAAAAGAGCTGCTTCTCTTTGACTCTCAGAACAGCAAGATCTGCCATTAAAATTTTGAACTTGAGAAAAGTATTTTATAAAATATTAAGGTAGAGAGCTTGAAGGACAAATCAGAATTCCAGAGTAACGTTACCTAAGCAATCCAATTACAGGTTGTAGAGCACCAGCTAGAAGAACTTCCCTCTTTATGTTTGGAGAAGAATGGACCAGATTTCCAATCACGCCAACCTACAAAGCACCTAATTCAGCTGGCTCTAGAAAAATTATAGCATGGGAAAATTAAACAAATGAAAGATATGAATAAAACTTATGTTAGAGCCTAACTGCTTCGGAATGTATTGCAGCATCCTCTGATCTAAGCATTAGTATAAGAGTAGGCAGCGCATTGCATCCAACAATCTGCAATTAGTGATTCATATCATCAACTACAGCAAAACAATCTACAAGAGAAACCAAGTAGATATGCAAAGTTTTTCACCTGGTTTTTGTTCTCGTCATTTTTAAATGCAAGGGTGCGTAAGGCCCCTGCAGCTGCCCTTTTTACCTTTGCGTCATCAAATTCAAGCAATTCAACGAGAGGAGGGATCCCACCTTCCATCCTGAACGTACAGTCAACCTCTGAGAGAGGGAATAAAATATTTATAGAAATTATGTTTCGAAGGCGTGGAGAATAGGATACCTCACACTAGTTTTAATGCTGCTATTTTCGTGCGCAAGGTTTGTGATGGCATCAGCTGCTCTCCTTATAAGGCCAGTAAGTGCCCGTGAATTACCACAGGTCTTGTGCCTCTTTAACATGTCCAAAAGATAGGGTAAAGCTCCAGCATCGACAATGAGTTGTTGAAGCTCTGGCTGCTCGAGATGAAGTCCAAAAGAAATCAATTCCAAGTTAAAAGACATTTTGATGATTTGGGCCAAAAGATAAAATAAAATAAAAGATACTTTGATGATTTCATAAAACATTGAAAGCAGATAAAAAATGGCTTCAAACCAACATCGTCATCTGCACTAGAACAACTATTGTAAAACTTAAAGTGGATTGACGGATGAGTAGGAGAAAGTAAATATTTACTACAGCCTGCACAGATATTCATTAGTATCAGAGCAAACGACAACGAATGGAGAAGTTCATAATCGAAGCCAAAGGTTTAAGCATTATCATTAATATAATTAAAAGAGTAATTAATAATTTCTATGACTAACAGCGAACATATACAACGTTTCAGAGTTTCATATAATTGATATTCTTGAATGTTGAGGGAGAGAGACAGAGAGAAGCGCAAGGCTGCAGTGCTAATTACTTTAACAGCAAGAAGTCCGAGGACGAAGGCACATCCCTTTTCCACCTCATGCTCGTAAGGCTTGGGAACACCATCACCTTCTCTAACTGGTTCTGGTGCTTTCAGATGCCTCAACAAAGCAGGAACGGCTCCACAATCCACTATACTATTCACAATTTCCTCTGCAACAAAGAGATGAATATCATAAAAATGATACACTAAAGAGCGAATAGCAGTATCAGAAACAAAGAATAACGCAGCAAACATCATCAGATCAAGCATCACGACGACAACCCAAAAAATCAAAGTTCGCAACATGGGATACTTTTCAATTCCGCAGCAAAACACACCGACTCACTCGAGGCATATAAGATAATTAAAAAGCATACGGTTATATAGGCAAGGGTGCAAATACTAGTATATATAATCAAAGGCTCAGGTAGTTACCATTCTTTGCTAATTCGGTGAGAACATGAACAGCGCGCTTGGCTGCGAGGCGATCCGACTGAGACGATGAGAAACTGGAGTTGAGAATAGTGACTTGCGACACAACTTCACTCAAAAAATTTTGAGGTTCAAGAACCAACACTTTACGATCGGCCGTTGGTTGATCTGCTCCTTCTTCGGCGAATTCTCGTTCGAGCTTGCGCTTCAAGCTGCGTCTAACAGCAGAGGATGGGGGCTGATCCATCAATGTTCCAAGTGTAGAGAAGAAAATAAGTTGAGGGTATGAGGGTAGTGTGGGGATAAACGTGTGGATACCTATCGGGCGACGGGCAGAAAGGCACAAAATGAAATATGTCTGTATCTTGCATGCTTTTATTAGTTGGTTTGAATCGCCCGCCAAAATTTTTCCCAAATCTTTTGTTACGGTGGCGCTGCGCCTGCCTCCCGCCATATTCTTTTCATTAATTAATTAATTAATAATATCATATTTAGGTCATAATCTCGTTAATGATTGGATATATTTTAAATTTTAAACTTGGTTTAATCTCTTTTATATATTTTTTATGTTGGGAACTATTTACTTGAAGCCACGCTGCTTATCCTCTTGTTTCATTAGAACGATTCGGAAACTTGTATCCCAAAAAAAAAAACGATTCGGAAACAGAGCAATGGTTATTCTTCGTCGTTTGGGATGGCGTGGAACCTGGGATGGATGGAGGAGGATTCGGATGGAAACGGATGCAGAGGGGGTTGCGGGAGGGTTGAGAGAAACTATCTTTCAGTGGGGTCTTTGGGTTCAGATCCATGATTTGATGAACAGAGATTGGATTGTGAGGGTGAAAAAGATTAATCGCCAAGCGAGCATTTCTGCGCACGCTTTGGCAAAAATGACCTTCGATCTCATGTCCGTAACGAAGAAGAGAGGCTTCTCGGACAGAATGTTGATGAGGATGCTACTGTTGTGTTGGCGACACTTCTGAGTTCAGCAACTTGGGTGTTGGCGTGTTGCTTGAGATTTTGGTTTTGGGCCACGTTTTTGTTAAAACAACAATTTCAAAAGTGAAAATTAACCTTGTGGTATTTATAGAAATATTTGAACTTAGATTGTGAGTTATGAATTAATTTTTTATCAACTGGACCAAATCTATTTAATGAGTTCATTAGCTTTTGATAATAAAAGAAATATCAGATCGGGAACCGGTGCTGAGCTCATTGCATGTAGTCCACATAGACCGGTCCAAAGATCAAAGAGGCCCAAGGAGGGAAAAGAGTCCAATGGACCTCCACTGAAACTAACCGATACTTGTGGACCTGTCCTACATTAGAAGGGAAATATACCCAGAACCCAAAAATGAAGGTGGGCCTCACCTATGACAATACGGGCAGTCGGGCATCTCAAATTATTAGATTTTCTGATGTAGAAATGATCTCTTAGATCCAAACTCTCCAACTGTCGGATGGCCTTTGAATTTTGAACATGTCGTTAAATTGAAATTCATTCTTGTTGTTCAATTCTGTGCCAAGTTTTGATTCTGTCCCTTCACTGTCTTTCGTTCCATCCAACCCTCTGTGTTTCTTAATTAATTCAACGTCTTCCAAAGATGCACTGTTGATATTGGATCTATACAAGTTTACATATATATAATGCATTCTGATTTCATCTACCAGGCATGATTAAGTGCAAATCTGACCCGAGGCTGTCCGGGCAGAAACTGACTCTGTGGTTAATAATTCTAACAGCGCTTGACAAAAGCAAAACATGAAAACAATTACATGCCAGCATTATTTCAGACTTGTGTTGCCCTTAACGTAAAGAGATCAAAAGTGATTAAGGAAAAACATGTAATTACGATGCCCAAAGTTGCAATTGGAAGTTGTGGGTGAATTGTCGGCGAGGAGGAAGAAGAAGCTTCGCATGGGGTTTCCAAGGGACATGGTACTTTCCTCGCCACACCACCAGATTTGCTTTGCTTCTCCTTTTCCCTCGTTTTGTCCTTTCCTTCATCCACCCCTCCTTGGGGGCAAAAAAAAAAAAAAAAATCCGCCCCTCCTTACTTTATTTACGTGTTTTGTCTCTAGCCGACATTATTGCACTCAACATTTGCACGTGCTTTTCCACTCGCTCACTCTCTGGGTCAACACTCCTACGCCACACCGCTGCTCCTCTCTCTCTATATATAATTTAATCGCACGTCGTTTTTATTTTTTCCCCCCTTTCCCTTGTCCTAAACATTGATCTCTATATGAATCTAAGAGGTTGTTAAAATATACATAAACTGAGTATTAGACAGCTTGCTTTGACTGATGCGAATCTCAAGTACAGCCAATTAATGTTAAATCAACAACGTTATATATTAATTGATCTGATACTGATGCATGTGTGTATCTACTCAGCAAGATTTGACTTGAGAGAGACCACGTTTGGGGTGTAAGAGAGTGTGCGACTAACTTCCTCTCCCAACTTCCAATTCAATCATAAGTCAAACTCCACACTGTTCACTACTTCCAAGTTCAAACATTTTCACCATTAATTGCAGCCTCATTATAAAAAATTATGCTAGTCTTGGACTCGGGTAAACTCGAATCACAAGTATATTTTAAAACTTGTCCGCACGAGTTGCACTCGTCGTACGTACCCGCATGTGTGCCATATGTCCTTACGATGTTTCTTAGAAGCTGATGTTTTTCCATCACTCATGGGATTCAGCAGGCGTCCCACGTTCTGGAAGAGAACCCTCTGCTTCCTATACATGTTTTTCTGCAACTTCTCAGCATCCCCTTCAACAGAATAATCACCTCCTATCTCTAATCTCGAGAGTTTTGCCGACACTGTGTCTAATATCTTCTCTGTAATGTATCTTAGAGTGCGGCATTATGCGGGTTTATACGCTTTTGTTTATACTGACTTAAATGTACGGTTCTTCACACTGTCCAATGCCGCAGTAAAGTTTAGCGTCAGTTAACTGTTCACGGAGAAATTTACTAATGGTGCAGAATTTTCTTATTCGTGATGATTACAAATGAAACTTATTGCCTTGCATGGTGACAGTATTAAATTGCCAACTAATAACATGTACTACAAACTCCGAGTATGGCATTCTATTGATGGAACGTGAACATTTGTATTAAGTGGCTTGGCCGGGGTTGATGATAGAAAGGAACAAGACCTTGGCTGTCGGCAAAGCAGGCGTGTATTGGCGGGTTTCACTTTGTTTCAGGGTCAGAGAATCCTAGCTAACTTCTGAATGGCAAATTGATATGTATGTGCAGCCACAGCGTCCTTTTGGACTCTAGCTTCTGAATAACACTGAAACGTTGCAGATTTTTCATGTGTTTCTGTGTGTCTGTATGTTTGTCTATGTATATAAATATATTTTTTTTGTTACAATGTTTGTCTATATTATATGTGCAGAGGATGAGCAAAACACAGGGCCCAGAAAACACAAAAGTGGGCAAGGAGGGTTATTGATAATTTTTGTTTCATTGCTGTTGGATTCGTGAGTATTTGTCTAATCAATAATTCCTATATGCAACTAGTATATAGATTGGCAATTCGTTCATTTTATTTACTCATAATAACGCATGTTGTTGTTATACATACGTCCATCATCAGTATGTGATAATCAATTAAGATTAATATGTTGTCGTTTCTCTATCTGTGTGTGCAAAGTAATATAGCAGCAGTTCTTTAGAGGATAACATAAGAAAATTATATTGAAGCGTTTGTTACTTATTATTCGTGTCTAATCAAAGAGTGGTTGATCTCCAATCAAGTCATCAGATTGCTGTCTTTTAATCGGTGGGTAAAAAAATAAAATAAAGGACCACAAATTGACGTTGTAAGACAAAAGTTTCGGTCAGCAATATAATATGCGGTATCCGAGGATTTTATGAGCATTCAAGTGAATGCATACGCTAGGAGAGCATATATATTAAATTACAGATCTAATTCAATTAACACAGCGCAAGCATTACTATTATATGTAGAATGTAGAAGCATAATTGATCTGTGTAAAGGAATCTAATTGATGAGACCACACCACGCCCATATATAGGTTGCACAGAGAGGAATTGGATGAAGACAAAAATGTGAGTGGGGATGATAATAGAAAAATACTCACATTGAATTATATGAGTCGACGTAGACTGGGCCCATCAGAACTGTATCAGAGAGTGCCTCAGACTAAGGAACAGTAATATCTTGAGAAGATTTTACGTACGTGTCTGTTTTAATGGAATTACCAACTTGTAACTGGAACATTCAATGAAGGGAGCCCATGCCCTCAGGTTTTATCAGAACCCTGACATTATGGCACCAGACATATGGTACAGTATGTACTTTGTGGTACTTCAATGCCATGCACTAGTTAGGTTCCTTTCGGTTTTCAATCAACACTATTCAACATGATTCATGTCCCCTCCAGCCTTACTTTGATCTTCACTGTCTCTTAACTTATAGATCACGGCCATATCATTTTTCTTCTCCCCGCTGTAATATCCCCAAAGTTTGGGTTAATAGAGTCAGAATTAAGTTATAAATTTATTTATAAATTTTTCACTCATATAAATAATGTTGCCTTGGAAGTTTTTATGAGCTTGATGTGACCCCAAAAGTTTCAAAACGCAGCAACTTTTACCACCCCGTTAAAAATTAATATTTTTAACAGCACAAATTGTTCTATTTTAACATTTCTGAGACAATCTTGAACTAGAAAAAAAATTTCAGGACATATTTACACTTTAATCGTCATTAAAAGTCCGGGTGTGTCCCTCTTTTTGTTGTCATTTATTGATTTAGAAAATAGACACTTGGGATTACTGTTGGAGTAAGTCATGGCCTGTGTTGTCTGCTGAACATTGAAACCCCACTTTTATGCAGCAGAATTATTGCTGATTTAATTAAGTCACATATATATATAAAGCGATTAGTTTAACTGAGGTCCATATTAAAAACAAGTTAGTGGCAAACCAATGTACTGTATTTAAAACAAGCAAGGCATAAAGCTGATGACGACTATGCTTACTTTCCTCTGTGGATATGCTTAGCTTTTGGTTTAGGTGAAGTCTTTAATTATTTATTTAAAAGCAAAGAAGTGATGGTGATGATCAAAAAAAGAGACAAACTTTTCAATCAAACCTGATAAACATGAAAATGTATGGCCTTAAGCTTTTCTTATACTAAACAACTAGCTAGAAATAATAATGTCCAGGATCTCATCATCTCTTCTTCGCCAAGTTAGATGTACGCACTAGAAGAATATGATGATGATGATGTGTTCGATGGATATAATACAATGAGCTAATTAAGATATTA